ATATATATATATGTATATATATTGATATTGCATCACAAACAATAAAGGTCACCAATCCATGTTATTCATGTGTTTCTATCATTTTCAAATGATAATTCTTTGACATAAACTTTATTATTTACAAGTTACACCAAAACTGTGCAGTTCAATACAGTAAACATGTTTGTGTTTTTGTGACATCATGGGAAATAAAAATGTTGCAATCAAGTTTGTTTGGCCCTATTCACTGTTAGGTGTTTTGTGAATAAAGTGCTATGGTAAAGTAATACAAAAACTTATTTTTGATAAAGCCTGAAAGGAACATTTGAAACAATTTGTGCTATTTAAAATCAAAATATTTAAAGAGTACTTTCACATAAAGTTAAAACATAAAGTTAACTGATTATAAAGGATAGTACGGAAAAGAATGGAGCAATATGTCATAAAACATGAAATATAAACCGGGGTCTCTTTGACTAACATATTGCCTGATTTTAAACGTATTTCATCTGCGGTTAGAAACAAAATTGATTAATCAAAAATCTTTGTTTTTACCCTTATTAAATGTAAAGCAAGGAGTGTCTGTTTAATATAATATATTAACTTATTATTATTATTATAATACATTTACTTGTTACATTTTTATTATTTAAAAAATAATAAAAATTCTAATCAGGCAAATTGTTGGACATCAAACAGCGCTTTGACAACATACCCGGGTCCTTCATTTAGCGCCAGTTTAGATTTCCCTCACAGATTGAAAACACGGTTTTTCAGACCTAGAAAGTTATATTTTATGAAATATACAACTGAAAATGTTGTACAGAGGGTTGTTTTTTTTTACGATAGGTGTTATTTATGAAAAAATACAAATCGTATAATAAAAGTTTTAGTCTTTTTTTTTTTTAATTGCGTTTAAGTTAGCAAATAACCGAAAGCAGAGCTAAACTCGAGGTAAGTGTACAACACTACGGAAAGAGTTTAGATATAAATATATATAATTATATATCCGTGTATTATAAGGATAAAACATTTTTTTTAATAGGTTCTTATGTTTTACAGTTATTGTCATTTTAAAAGTGACATTTCAGATGGAGCTGATTCTGAAATAGTTTTAAGTTCAAAGTTCTTTGTCATTCGCATGTGGTACATGAGGTGGAACGACATTGTGGTCCCAGTTACATCCAACAATAGCAAAAATATAAACTGTAAAAGAAACCGTACTACGGATCTAAGATATAAACTAAGAAATATGCTAAACACTAATGTACTATAGACTAATATAGTGTGTATTTACTTTAGTCATATTTCATATTTGAAGACATCAAGAGCTTTGTTTAAAGAATTATTCCTCTGTTTATTTTTCCACGCTTCACATGTTAACAGAATGAAATTATGCAGATATATTGATGCTTCATGTCGCTTTTATTTGCAAAATTATATATTTTTTTAAATCCCCAGACAAACTAGAAGCTGAACATAATTCTGAAACTAGTGCAAAAAAAAAAAAAAAAAAACTCAAAGAAGCTTGTTGCAACATTAAAAATAAATGTCTTTTATTGTCTTTGTCAATACCAACAGGGGCATCTGAGCTCAGCACATTTCTAAAATGGATGGTAAGTGTCATCGTAGTTAAAACACGAGACAGCGGGTGTTCAGAATGTCAGATCAGTGGCTGCGTAACTTGTTTGCTCAGGTGAGGATGATCTGGACATTTTGACGGCGCTCCTGGATGAGAGCGAGGACATCGCCAAAGTCCGAGCCGATCAGGAGCAGGCGGACGACTTGGATGGGCTGTTCGACGAGGACGACGAAGAGTATCAGGAGGGGAAGGAAGTGTCCGCAGAAGATGTGGTGTCAGATCTTTTCGGAGATGTCGACGACATTGAAAATGAGGAGAAAACCTCAGAAGAACAGGCAGAAAGGCCTGAGAACCTGAACAGGTCTAAAGAGGATTTGCGAGGTTTGCGCTCCGGCACACTCTCCTTGTTGTCTGCATTTAGTTCAAGTTTCACTCAGCTGCTTGTTGTGTCTCTGAACTTCGTCTTCAGAGGAGTTGAGGCGAATGCAGGAGCAGATGCAGAAATTACAACAGCAGCTGGAGGCGAACCAGAAAGGGTCAGACGCTAAAGTCTGTACTAAACCAGCACCAACACGACCGTCCAAACCAGTTCCAACCAAACCACACGCAGGTAAACATTTAGTTTCCACTTAAACCTTGATTTATAAATGGCACAGCATCTAAAGTCCTGTGTTTCTGTTTCTCTTGTTTTCCGGCAGCATCGTCATCACCTCCAGTCAGAGAAGGAAGCTTGAAGCTCCAGGAGTCCTCAGATTTTTCCTCTCAGCTCAACAACGCAGACTCGTTCAAACGCAAACCCAGACTGGCTCACAAACCCAAAGCATCATCACCAGGTAGCACTCACCGTTTAAAGGCCCTCGCTGCAAAGTCACGGGTCCAAAAACATGCACGTTTCAGCCGCTCTCAGGCCCAGGCCTCCCTGAAACAAATGAATCTGTTGGTTTGTGTTTACCCTCAGGTCTGTTGATGCAGGTAACAAAAAAGGTTCAGTCATGTCATCTGGACCAGTTCCTTTAAGTGAGAGATGACACTTAACATTTTTTCATTATCTACTTGGATGATTGAGCTTACAAACCGTTTTTTTTGTTGATGCAGATGAAAAGATGATGTTAAAACAGTAAATCTACAGGTTTAGAAGAAGCTCTGTCTTCATGGTGCTCCTCTTTGATCTATAGTCATCCTTTAAGCATGGCCCTTTTTATAATCTTCTCTTTCCACTTAAACGTCTTCAAGTTTCTACACTTTATTCGGCTGAGTGAACTCCTTCGATCTGTACAGTTGAAACCGTTCAGAACCTCTGTGTTTGGTTTAGCAGCGAGTGCCTTTAAACTCTCACGGGTCTCAGAGTTTATTTAGATCTTAGTTGATCTGTAGCGAGTCGCTGCCTAAGTTTCCACCATGTTTTGTTTTTCAAAAGCTTGTTTGTTGCTTCTAGAGGGCAGAAAACCACCGGTGGAGGTAAAGGTTGGCAGCTCCTTCCAGCCGTTGGACAGAACCAGGGAGGCCTCGGACCGTCTGCTCACGTCTTCCTCCCACGGCAGACCTGCATCAGCAGGACCATCGAAACCTGCCGCTCCGCCTCCTCTCCCCAAAGACGTGGCTGTGGAGAAATACTCCGGCCTGCGCCTCAGGTCAGAACACCAAAACAATCGTGACGTAACTCGCAGACGTGTTTCCTTTTGTTTTGGGGCTTCGGTGGAATTTGCGTTTGTTTCCTTTAGGAAGCCGCTGGTTTCCTCCTGCGAGATGGACCGTAAGATGGCCGACCGCCGGCTCATCCGTCTGTCGCAGGTGCCGGAGCGTCTGACACGAGAGAAGCTGGAGGAGAGCGACTGGGTGACGTTTGCAGTGTTGGTTAACAAAGTGACGCCTCAGAGCAACAGCAGCGTGAGTGCATCGTCCTGCACAGTTTATTTATCACTAATTATACATCCGGACTTATCCATCCATGGTTGCAGTCCAGCTGTTCTGTCCAAAAACATTTATGTTCCTCTTACTGAGCGTTGCTTGAGCCCGTCTGCAACTCTTTGACCTCATCACGTCTCTTCCTGTTGAGCCCAGCCGGCTCTGAACAGTAGCTGCTCTTAATTAAACCAGGAGCGCCGTCACTGGGGGCGCCGCTGCTCCTCCACAGCAAAAAGAATCGCCTGAGGTGGTGCAGGCGCCTCCCTCTCTAGGTTTTCTGTGCTCTGGGAGGAGACTGGGGGGATTCTGGATCCACCCAGGAGGAGCTGGAGTGTCACTGGGGGGACGGATGGGAACCTGTGATTGTTTTCTTTACCAAACAAGGAGAATAAACTTAAAAAGTACGATGCGAGCTCTGTAGGAGATTATACATATATTATTTTTACCCGCTTCCTTCTCGGGTCGCTGGTGTCCAGCAGTCACTGTGGGGGAGGCAGGGGACACCCTGGACAGGTCTCCAGTCCATGTCAGGGACACAACGAGACAAACAACCATTCACTCTCTCTTGTCTAAACCTCAGAGCCCGTCACGATTCTGATGGAGCTCCTCTTCTCTGCAGGGAAAAACGTTCAGCATCTGGAAGCTCAGCGACCTCCACAACCTGGACGTGTTCGTTTCTCTCTTCCTGTTCGGCGACGTCCACAAGGAGCACTGGAAGAGGGACTCGGGCACCGTCATAGGACTCCTAAACCCCAACCCGATGAAACCGAGAGACGGGAACGACGGGGTGAGCTGCGTTCTGTTTTAAAGGTCCAGCAGAACCACAGTCTGACAGCACATCTGGAGCTGAGGAAACAGCTGTTCACTGGAGAAGGTTTCTGCTTTAGAAGCTAAATTTAAATATTTTGAGGTTAGCTAACTCTGGAAAAAAAAAAAAAAGTAAAATGTCCCAAGTTGCAGTTTAAAATCCTTAAACTTGTCTTGGTGTAACACTTGGAAGCAGTTTATAAATTATAATTAATTTAGAATAATTTAATGAGCGAACACAAACTTTCATTATTTAACTGGATCGTTTTATGTTTAGTTTCAGTTTCAGTGTCTTTAAAAGCAACAAGAGAAATGTTTCAGCAACTTACCGTAATGAAACGTGAGATATTTACACAGAAAGACTTTTTAAAACTTTTAATTAAATACTGTAGCATGTCAGCACCCAGCTGAGCAGCAGCATGTGCAGCTCATCTTGTAGATCAAGAATCAACTTTTATCAATCGATCAATTTTTATAGACTTTATTTTACTGAACCCCACAGGTCTCCATGACAACTACCTCCCTCGCTCATGGTTACTCTACTGAATGTCATAGTGCATTTATTTATTTTTGTCAATCAGCTGTGTTTAGAAAAAACAATTAGTGCACGTATCTGTGCATGTTATCAGAACATATTGTAGCATTCTGGCCTCAGGAAGGGATTATGGGCAGAATTTAAAATCTTCCTCCTGTGCACTGTACACAACAGGGACAGAATGAAACCAAGTTTCATTTGTCACATTTTTTTAACCTTTATTTATACAGGTGGTCTCATTGAGTCAGGAGGCCACACCCCCTTGAAAGAGTCGTGCATCGGGCAGCAGCTCTGTGAGCGCCAGATGAAGCTCGTAAAAAACAACAATCCATAAATTAGCTGCAGCATTGCATAACCTGCGGGGTTCATAATGTGATAAAAAGTTGCTGCTTATAGTCCAGAAACTACGGCATCTTAAAGTTAGCTGCAGCTCGTGAGTAGTTCTACTCATGTTTGACCTGAATATAATTTTCTTCTTATTAAAAATACAACATTCAGTGATTTAACTAAAAGGTCGACTTTATTCTTCTGGAGTGTCTTGATTTTATTGTGACGAAACAACGGTTCGCTCTCGGATGTGTGCTCGGGTCTCAGTTCTGACGGGTTTGCTGCGCGTTGCAGGTGAGCCTGACGGTGGACCACCCGCAGAAGGTCCTGGTTCTGGGTGAAGCTCGGGATTTCGGGACCTGCCAGGCCGTGAAGAAGAACGGCGAGCCGTGCTCTCAGATCGTCAACACGGTGCGTCTCTTCTCTGTGGAGCTGTGTTGGAGTCCGCGCGGCCCTTTCCTCACATCTGGTTCTGTGTGCAGTACGAGTGCCAGTACTGCCAGTACCACGTCAAGGCCCAGTACAAGAAGATGAGCTCCAAGCGAGCCGAGCTGCAGTCGTCCTTCTCCGGAAAAGCCCCCAGCAGGGTGAAGGGGAAGGGGGGCGGCCTGAGGGAGCGCCTGTGTCAGGACGGTTTTTACTACGGGGGGGTGTCCTCCGCAGCCTGCGCCTCCTCCCTGTGAGTCCCAGGAGCTGGATCTTTGTAGCAGGAGCTGCAGGGACGCCCGCTATCAACAGTGACCACTTTCTGTGTTTCAGAACCGCCGCCAAGCCCAAAACTCCCACCCAGAGAACTCTGGACCAGCTGTTCGTGAGAGGCTCCGCTCAGCTCCTCGGTCAGGCCAAGAGAATCGGTAAGGCGGGGGTAACGGGCGACCATCCAACTGTGTCTGAATAACTTGAATTAGATTCAAGATGGTGGCCAGAGCTAACCAACACAAAAAAAAAGTTAGAACTGTCGTGTTTACAGATATTAGGCTGAACTGTGGTGTGGTAGCAGCTGAGGCTGATCCCTAACATCCAGGGACTGAAAACCTCTGGTGGGTAGAAGCACAGGCTCGGCCTTTAGCTTGACGTAGGTCCAGGCCTTCTGCTACAGCGCCAAATCTGTTCTGACAGCGGCCCGATCCTGATTTGTGGATGGACGACGCGCTAATGGTTCGGAAGTGAGGAGCAGAACTTCTGGTAACTTCAGGTTCTGAGGACAGAGTCTCCTGGACACTGATCTGAACCGATACTGAAATAAATAACCACTACGGTCTGCGTGACGTTTTTTTCTCAAGGGAACAGCAGAAACTTGCTTCATCTGACGATGGTCGCTCACCTGAAGGGATCTATAATAATTATTTTATTTTATTTATCCAGAGACGTGTCGACCTTCAGCAGCGCTGGTGAACGAAGCCAGAGAATCCTTCAGATCGGGGCTCTGCAACCTTTACGATCAAAACAGACATTTTTCACCTTCATTCGTTCACGACATTAAACGTGTCCGGAGCCACAACAACCTGCTCAACTGGTTATCAACTGGTGGCTCATGGGCCACTTTAGGTTTGCTGGAGGGGCTTTTGTGGCCAGTAAGGGTGACATTATAAAGCAAAAAAATCTAATAATTGTTAACGTTTATTAAAGAAAAAGACCAGATTCTTGTAAAGGGGGGGACATTTTTCAGTTTTTATCTTTTTTAATTAATAAATCTATAAACTATGCAGACAGTTCATATAAAGAACTAAAGCATCAAGTTAAAGTTTTGCTCCTTGTACTCCAGTGTTCACATATTTACAAAAGAAATGACAGAAAAACTGTTTGAACTCGTCCCTTTTTGTTTGTAGAACCAATAAAGTTCAGTTTTTTCCAGCTTTGGTCAACGCTTGAAAGAGACACTAAAGAGGGGGCAAAGGGCCGCATGTGGCTCAGGAGCCGCAGGTTGCAGACCCCTGCTTCAGATCCTCCAACCATCAATTATATCGTGTCCTTCATCCACCTCTCGGGGCGTCTTGGCCCAAATTATGATGCAGCTTCACCCCGTAGAGCTTCTTTTCCTCGGGGCTAAGCTTTCCAGCTCAATCGAACAATAGATTGAAAAAATCCTCTGTTCGTGTTAATTACTAGAAGAAGCTTCACGACGAAGGAGAAGATGTTTTTAACCGAGTTTTACCGGACAGACGTCACAACAGATGTTTCATTGAAGCCCGGTCGTGTGGATCTGCCACGGGCGGTGTGCGAGAACTGTTCTCTATCTGCTGATCAGTTCTGGGCTCAGCAGGCAGGTCCTGATGACCTCACCGAGCTGCACATGCAGGCTCCTCTCCGAGAAGGAAAGAGCTCTGAGCTCATGCACGTGGTTCAACATTAACTGACAGCAAACTGCTTCGGTTGACGAACGCCATCGTTCCGATTCTGATCAATTCTAACGAGATCCTTGTCTCACATTTTATCTGTTTTGGTCTGACACATCACTGGAAACGTGTTTTTGCGTGTGTGTGTGTGTTTTTGTGTGTGTGTTTAGCGGTGCAGTCCGGTGAGGTTTCCGGTTGTTCCGATGAATTTAAGACGCTGCTGTCGGTGCCGACAGCCGGCGCTCTGCAGCTGAAGAAGCACCTGACTCAGAACCGCCAATCAGGTACACGACTCGCTGCAGTTCTGTTTTTCAGTTTGTATAAAAAGGGTTGTTGGGGGGTCAGACCCAGTTCTGGGTCTTTAACTTGTTTCCTTCTCAGTCCAGAAAGACGAGTCTGGAGCGCCGCTTCAGTCCATCTCGGCCTCCGATCTCCTGAAGCAGCAGAAACTGAAGCAGCGCGAGCTCCTAGAGAGCCGGCGGCAGAGAACGGAGGAGAGGAGGGTCCAGAACCTGAGCAGAACCGGACCCAGTTTGGGTCCAGGTGGTTTATCGTCTCCGAAAGCCGAGAACCGCGACCCCGAGACAATCCCGGCGGAGCCTCGCGCCCCGACCCTGGGCCGAGGTTTCTGCGAGGGCGACGACATCCTCTTCTTTGACAACGGCCCGCCTCTAGCTCCGCCTCCCAATGCTCCCAGCCTATCAGCTGCCAAGATGGCCGCGCTGAAGAAGCTGCGGGCCAAAGGAAGCGGGCTGGAGAAGGAAGACCCCAACGCTGTGAAGAGGAAGAGGAGCAACAGCAGCGAGATCAGCACGCGAGTGGAGAAGAACCGGACCTCCCCCAACGGTACCGAAGGTAGCTTCCACACCGAAGGTTTACACATCAGCTGAATTTAAGCTCATGTTTACTTCAGGATGTTGTGCTTTATGTCCAAACTCTGAAAACAGAGAATCCGCCGCCGTTTGGGCTTCAGGACCAAATAAAACCGACCCGGTTCTAAAAGCTTTAGCCATTTCTTTAATAAACTTAAACATGTTGGAATCTGTTGTTTTTGTTCACACGAGGTTCGATTTAAATCGGTTTGGACCCCGACACAGACCGGATCAGTTTTATTACGTCCTGATGTGCAGAAACCACCTTTCTGTTAAAAGTAGCCGAATGGCAGCTAAAAGCTAAGATGCTTTGTGGACATGCTGAGGTCTCAGCGGTTCTGAAGGACATCATGAACCAAACAAAACATTAGCTTTAATCTAAAATAAAATAAAATAAAAAAAATAATAACTTTAAGCTAAAACAAGCTAACCAACTAAAGTCTGCTAAAATAAGCAAAAGGCCAGCTAAAAGTAGAAAGCTAGCATATGCTAAAAAAAGAAAAACACTAACTAAAAGGTGAAAGTAGCAAAAAAAAGCTAAAGCACAAAGAATGTCTAAAAGCAACAAAAAGTAGCTTAAAGCTAAAAGTATGAAGGTGGATGTATTGTCCCTGTGATGGACGCACACCTGTCCAGGTGTCCCCCACCTCTCGCATGAAGACTGCTGGGGACACACCTGCTCCTTGCTGCCCGGAAAAGAGAAGGTGGGTTAAAAGGGCTAGCTAAAGTAGCAGAAGGCTATCACAAAGCTATATAAAGCAAAATGCTAAAATTAGCCAAATAGTAACTAAAACTAATAAAACATTAGAAAAAAACAGCAAAAGTATTTTTTTAAAGTAGCAATAGGATAGCCAAAAGCAGCTAAAACATAGCTGAAATGTCCAAAAGATGTCTAAAAGTTATAAGTAGCAAAAGTCTAAAAGTAGCCAAATAATAGCTAAAACTAATAAAAAGTAAAAAAAAAATAAAAAAAAAACAGCAAAAGTATCATTTAAAGTAGTGATAGGATAGCTAAAAGCAGCAAAAACATAGCTAAAAGGTCCAAAAACAGCTAAAAGTAAAAAGATAACGCAAAGCTATATAAAGCAAAATGCTTAAAGTTGCCAAATGATAGCGAAAAATGATAAAAATGTTTGAAAAAAGCAGCAAAAGGATCATTCAAAGTAGCGATGTGTAGCTAAAAGGTCCAAAAACATAGCTAAAAGTTAAAAGGATAGCACAAAGCTACCGGTATATACAGCAAAATGCTAGAAGTAGCCAAAAGATAGTTAAATAAAAGGTTAAAAAAACAGCAAAAGGATCATTGAAAATGGATTGAAAAGTCCCGACAACGAACCCACCAACGGGTCTGCTCCGAGGTTCCCACCAGCGAGGTGGGGTGGTGGTTGCTTGTTGTTTTCTTGTCACCAATCGTCTGTTTTGTCCGGAGCAGGCGGCGAGGAGGAACCGGCCCAGAAGAAGAAACGAGACCAGCTTCACTACGTCCAGTCCGAGGAGTTCCAGAAGATCCTCAACGCCAAGTCTCGACACGGGACGGTCCTGCAGGCGGTACGGCCGTTCAAACCCGCAGCTCCGCGCCGCAGTTGGTCTGTGCAGAGAGTAAACGGGTGTTTGTGACTCCGTTCCAGGCCGAGTACCAGCTGCAGGAGAGATACTTCAACGTCCTGGTGAAGAAGGAGCAGCTGGAGGAGAAGATGAGGGGGATCAGGGAGATGAAGTGTCGAGCTGTCACCTGCAGAAAGGTACGAGACGAAGAGGGGGCGGGGCTTGTTGAAGCTCGGAGTGTAACCGCTCTCCTCTCCGGTGCTTCCAGTGTAACTACACCTACTTCAAGCCGGCGGATCGGTGCGTGAACGAGAACCACGAGCTGCGCTGGCACGACGCCGTGAAGCGTTTCTTCAAGTGTCCCTGCGGACAGAGGGCCATCGCCCTCGACAGGCTGCCGCACAATCACTGCAGGTACGGCCCGCCGCTCCGCAGCAAGACATGCAGCTGAAATGTGCTGAGAAAGTAGCTAAAGTTATCCCTGAGCACCAACGCTTAAATGAAATGATGACATCGTTTCTTTTCTCTCTTTTAGCAACTGCGGCCTGTTTAAATGGGAGCGGGACGGGATGCTGAAGGTGCGGCTCTTCGTCTCCGAGGAGACTTTTCAAAGACTGCGTCTCCTCCGACGACTCACTCCTGATTAATTGTTTTATTCTTTCAGGAGAAACAGGGGCCGAAGATCGGAGGAGAACTTCTCCAGCCTCGAGGGGACGAGCAGCCCAAGTTCCTCAACAGCATGAAGTGATGTCTGAAGAAAAAAAGAACATTAGAGTCTTCATCAAGGCGACTTGTTGGTTGGACTTTTCAATTAGAACTAATTATGTTTTAAAGTTGGTTTTTAAGATCGCTCAGACTTCTGATGTATTTGCTGTAAACGGGATGATTAAAGCAACAACTTGGAAGGCTTCATGTTGAATTTAATTTAAATAAGGAGCTGCGAGTGATGGAGGCGTGACAGTGACTAGGCCTCTCGCGATAAACAATAAATCAATTAATCGCACGATTAATGAAAATTATCAACCTCATTTTCATTTATCGGCTTTATCGTTTCTTCGTCTCTCTCTTTCTACTGAAGACACTGGATGACAAAAGACTCAACTCCGGTGCTCTTCACTGACCCCTCCCTTTCTCTTTTTTCTTTAAAATATGTTTTGGATCGTTAAAAGCAGCTATGCTAGGAGCTACGCTAACAGGCCGACCTCAGGGAAAAATCTTCCGTCTATTCGAAGCTCCAAAATTCACAGTTGAAACTCGTGCCTTCGTGTAAAAAGTTGTTTTTCTCTGCAAAAAAAAGCTGAGAACTTGTTTACTGTTTTTTATTAAACGCTTTGTGTGAAAAATGCTAAAGAGCTCAAACCACACCGAGCGTCCACCATTTTGAGAACCAGATAAAGGAAGGAGAGAGAGCCCATGTCACGTCAAGGAGCCTCCCTCCCATTTTTCTTAAAGAGACACGCTGCTCGCTCCCTCACTATCCATCCTTCAGTTCAAACAGTCTTATACTGCCAGTGGTTGAAAAAGTACTACACTCAAAAATTAACCAACATTTCTTCATAAATTTGACAATAATTACTAATTATTGTCAAATTTCAAACAATATTATCGTTTATCGCAATAATTTCTGAGACGATTAATCGCCCAGCAAAATTAGTTATCGTGACAGGCCTAACGGTGAGCGGCCTGAGAACAACGTCCGCATCGTCGTGTCGCAGCCGAGCTGCTCCAAAATGAACAACTTCCTGAAACGCCTCACTTTTGGTTCAGGCTCCATCTTGTCTGTGGTCGGGGAGGCAACGGGTCCAGGAGAGAAACCCAGACCTCCAGCTCCTCCTGGGGGGGTTCTGAGGTGTTTCCAGGTCTCTTCCAGCGGGACGTGTCTGGAAAACTTCCAAAGGGAGAGATCCTGATCAGATGAGCCTCTTCACTGACTCCTTTTGATGCAGATGAGCAGCAGCTCCACGCCGAGCGCCCGGATGACTGCGCTCCTCTTATCTCCAAGGCGGAGCCTCCCCACCTTGAAGGAAGCTCATTTCATCCGCTTGAACCCAGGATCTGGTCCTTTCAGTTCTTATCCAGACCTCATGAGCATCGGAACGTAGACAGACCAAGAAAAACGAGCTTCGTCTTTCGACTCAACTCTTCACCACGACCGACCGAAGCAACGTCCTCATTACTGAAGACGAGGCCTTCGCTGATTATTTTTTCATTATTCCAACAGTGATGCACATAAACTCGTTAACTGTCAAATAAATTATTACCGTGTAACTTATACCGTAGTGGTTCCCAAAGCACCAAATAACAAGAATAGACTTGTAGCCCCGAATAAATTTGCTTAAAGTTTACAAATGTTGCTAAAAGTCCCTAAACAAAAGGTAATGACAGTTACTAACAGTTAAAGTTTTTAGTTCTTGTAACAGTTAAGACAACAAAACAATTATTTTTAAAGTTAATTTGGTTTCTATCAAGACTCATAATGGAGGACCGGCCCACTTTTAGGAGCAGTAAATGTATAAAAGTTTAATAAAAAAGCTTCAGGTTTCCTAAAGTTTGATCATTTTCATCTCTGGCTCCCTCTTGTGGAAGTAAAAATAAATAGACTCATTCAGTGTTTACCAGTGTAGCAGGAAGCTTCCTAACCTGCAGAGAGGCGGGTGATCATGTTTTTGTCCAAGTTCCTTATAGCATCTTCGCTTTGGTCATTGCTCTGTGTGTTAGCAAAATATCAACAGATTTTAATGAATCGGAAAGTAATCGCTGGATGTACGTCTAAAACTCAATTCAAGATGGCCGCCACATCTAATTGACAGCCAGCTCAGAAATGTCCAATAGATTGTCCCTATCTGTCCATCCATGAGACAGTCCACAGATGTTTTGGACAGAAAGTGTCCTCAGACCGTCTCCACGTTGGATCCTAAATATCAGGACCACTTCCTCCAGAGGAACCTTCTCTGTTTCTGGTGAAGTCCACTCCTCTATCATAAGGTGGACTGGGTCAGCAGGTGAGTTCTTCACCTGAAAGCTGCAGGTTCGTGTCCTTTAACAGTTTAACTGACCTGTTGACCGTTATCACATTGACCTTTGACCCCTCCACCACACGTATATCTTTAATCAGGATTATTCTGAGGGATTCGTGCTTTGGAGTTCGATTCCTGTAGTCCTCTTCTATTTAAGATCAAGGATTTTTATTTGTCATACACATCACATGTGGTACATGAGGTGGAACAAAACTATGTACACAGGGTCTCAGTTACATCCAACAAAAATACAAATTATAAAGAAAAAGTAATAAGATCCGAGACACGAACTAAGAATATATTCACTAAATTAAATACACAAACTAAGAATACACTAAGCACTAACAGTACAAAATTAAAAAAGCTTGTAAATTAAATATTAGTTGTGAACTATGATATTTATAAATGTATGAACAACATGGTGAAAATATAACTTAAAAAAACCCCAACTTTTTTTCTTATTAAAGGCTAAATAAACCAAAATATCGCTGTTAATTTTTGACTGTGTAACTTTACAAACGGCACCCCATACTCGTCTTCCTCCTTTTGGCCCATTTATGTTGAATATTTTCCACCTCTGGAATCTGCAGCCTGATGACTCCAGCAGCTTCCCATCGCCTCCTCTCCTTTAAATACTCCAAATACCAGACATTTCAAGGCAAGTTCAAGTGGAAACTGATCTTTATTTCATATTTTCACAATGTTCCTTTGTAAGAATGAAAGCTACAGACCTCCTCTGAGCTTATTTTTCTGCTAAAACAACTCATAAGATGATATATTTAATATAATCATAATTAAACACAAGCATGCAAACGTTTTAAGTTACAATACAAAAACTGCACATTGAATATACTTTACAGTTTGAGTCAGGTGAATGTTACACAGTTGAAATTAATATAAATGTAAGGAAAACATTTAAAATTATACAGAAGCATGGATAACTAAGACAACTGCCTTCAGACTGCTAGGAAAAAACCTGTAAACCTGAAATGACGGCATTGAAATGATGCGTTCCGGTTCTTCTCAGTGAAACCAGTAGGACCGAGGGTAGAGACCATCATAGTGATATTCTCGCAGCTGCTCGTTCGTCTCCCTCGATCTCTCGTTCAACTCTGTGAGTTAAAAAATAAAAGATAAATACATTATTTGTCACGAAAAAATTTAAAAAATCCCATGGTATGGTCCAACATTTTTCAGTCAGGTCATCTGGAGTTTCTTTTTTTGTGCTGAAACGTTTCGCCTTCAATCCAGAAGGCTTCATCAGTCAAGGAAACACACAACAAAACTGATTCTTCCCTCAACAGCTTACTCCAAAGTGGAACAAACCAGTTCTGCTTGTGATAAGATGGTCTCTTTGGTACGCCCCTCCTCCATTGCCGGCCCTCTTCCTGGTTGACAATCTTGTCAAACTGGTTGAAAACAACAAAGTCCATGCTCAATAATCCATGGTATGGTGTTAAGGAACACTTTCAGCTGCTACCACACTAGATTTTAGCTCAGAATCTGTAAATTTAGCTGTTTTAGCCATTTCTTTCAATCAATGATAGATTGAAACACAAGAAAACCCAGCACTCTTTGGAGCTCTGTAGATCAGACTTCACATTTAAACATGGCTCAACATTTAAACGGGCCTCACACAGTTGGACCTCACACAGTTGGACCTCACGGGCCTCACACAGTTGGGCCTCAGGGGCCTCACACAGTTGGGCCTCAGGGCCTCACACAGTTGGGCCTCAGGGGCCTCACACAGTTGAGCCTCACACAGCTGGGCCTCACACAGTTGGGCCTCACACAGCTGGGCCTCACACAGTTGGGCCTCAGGGCCTCACACAGCTGGGCCTCACACAGTTGGGCCTCAGGGCCTCACACAGTTGGGCCTCAGGGCCTCACACAGTTGGGCCTCAGGGGCCTCACACAGTTGAGCCTCACACAGCTGGGCCTCACACAGTTGGGCCTCACACAGCTGGGCCTCACACAGTTGGGCCTCAGGGCCTCACACAGCTGGGCCTCACACAGTTGGGCCTCAGGGCCTCACACAGCTGGGTCTCACACAGTTGGGCCTCACACAGCTGGGCCTCACACAGCTGGGCCTCACACAG